AGACATTGTTAAGACTGAACTGTGTAGAAAATTTCATCATGATCTGACTCTCCTTTCGAAAGTTATCGTGTAAACGGCCGGACGGACATACTGACCGATTCTAGAGTGTACTCACTTTTTGAGTACACAAAAAACAACAGCTTTGAATAAACTACAATCATTCACCAAAAATCGAACGGATTCCAAGATTTTGCACTGTTTCTTTTATTGTGATTATCCTATAGTTTATTAGAATTGTTGTATCAAACGAAAAGCACTTATTGCTTATAGAAAAAAATAAAATAAAATCAATGTGTGATTTTATTTTTTCTTTAATAGAAAATTTAACATGTTTTTAAAAAATTGTTTCAGATATTTTAAGTTCGATCAATTGTTTAAGACGATTTGGTCTATGAAAAAAGAAGTCTTACTAAATAAATTCATAAGTCTTTCAATTTATTGTTACTAAGATGAATAAAGTAGCCGAAATGAGAATGTGAAAAGCTATTTTTATTATTTCATGAAAACAATTACGAACTTACTGTCTGCTTGATCAATATCAATAATATTCAATTCAAGTAAATAATGTAATACTTTACTTGATCCAAATAATGCTGCCTACAATGAACAAAAAAATCAACAAAATAACACATAAAAATTTAGTTATCTAACCGTATGAATAGGTGTTCGTCCAAAATGATTTTTCTTTTTAAATAAATTTTGATTCATTTTCCATATTAATTTAATTGAATCAATTTGATTATATTCACTTGCTTCATGTGCAATTGTATTTCCATGTATATCTGTTTCATATATGGTTAAATTCGATTGAAAGAAAAAATTTAAAACATTATGAGAACCATGTTTAGCAGCATAATGAATAGGTAATTTTGATTCATTATTACTTATAAATAAATCAATATGGTTTACATTAACAAGATACTTTAAACTATCAACATGATTATGCATTGCACTATAATGTGCAGCTGTTTGACCAAGATTATCTTGTGCATTTATTTCACAACCTATGGTAAGATAAAAAAAAGAACTAGATTAAACACAATTTGAAATTTAGTGAATAGAAAATAAAATTGATCGAAAGAGCAGCATGAAAATATTTCCAGTTTGAAATACGAGGAATACGTACTGGGTTGTTAGAAATTCTCTTGTGAACATCATTGATATATAGATGTTAAACGAACAACTATGAACATCCTAACAACTCGAAGTGTAAATAGATACATTGATTGGTGGCAGCAGCTGGAAGTTTTTCAATGAATTTTTACTCATTGAAAAAAAATCAAATGGTAACATCTCGAAAAACTTATTTGAAATATCGAAATTTTTTTTTTTTTTGAAACTGAAATATCGAATTTTGTGTCGTGATGGCTAGAATCTTTAGCAATTGTTTTGAGCAACGGTTGACATCTCTATTAACAACTCGTCAAAGTTCACTATTTAACGAAATTTTCTGAAACATTTTTTGCAGTAGACATGCTGCTTTTTCAAATAGAGAAAAAAAAGGATCTATGTCTCTATGATATTTCGATACAACACTATGTAAAAAAGAAAATGAATCCAAAAGTTTTACTCCATCTGTTATCAATAATACTATAAGATAGAAGTGAAAGCACTTATTATAAATATGCATTTTAATAGCAGCAGTGACAATTCTATTTATACATTTTTCCAGCTTACCATTATGCTGAACATTCATGTGCTTTATTTATCTACTTAAAAATTGTCTTTTTTTCTTTTTCTTGATCTCATAAATTCTTTATTTTACCTTTTTCACAAAGTACTCGAATACATTTAATCGTGCCATGACTAGCAGCAACATGTAAAGGCGTCATGCCTTGAGAATCTTTTTGATCAATTAATGCTCCACTATCAAGAAGTTCAGATACAAGTTGTCCATTACCACTAACACATGCTTCATGTAATGGTGTACGTTGTAACATATTTTGTGTGTGTACACTTTGACCACACTAGAAATAATAATATAATAAAAAAAAAAGAAAAAAGAAATTCGAATATACAACCTCAATTAATTTTCGAACTATATCAAGATGTCCATATGAAGCTGCTTCATTTATAATTGGTTGAAATGATTCTTTAAGTTGAATAACTTGACTTGTATCATATTCACCTTTAGCATCTCGTTGTTGTAATTTATCGATGGTTGGCGTTGATACATTTTCTTCATCGATGGTTTTCATTGTATCAGTTGCATTCGTACTAGCACGCTCGAATTTGACTGATATGTCAATCTGTGCTTCTTCTCGTTCATTATTTAACTCATCCTCGGATGAAGTTGGTGACTTATCATTATCACTACGTAATAAAGCTGATGTATCATCAGAGGATGTTGATGAAGAAGAAGAAGAAGAACGAGATGATTTTGGTTCTTCATTATCGTTAGTATATTTATCATCAGTATGAGATTGTGTTGAAAGAGCAGTTTTTGGACGTGATGATGATGATGATGATTTTTTACGCTCTTCTGTTTTCTCACTTGGAGTTGGTGATCGTTTTTGTCGTTGAACAATTTCAGATGATAATAATTCATTACCTGATTCATCTTTTTCATTTTCTTTTTGTTCTTCTTCATCATTGATATCTTCAACACTTGGTGGCATATACATTTCTTGTGATTGTCGATTATAATCGAGTGATGAATTAGTTATTCTAATATCATCATTGTCTTTAGATGTTGAAAGTGTTCCGGAGAGACCACATGCTGATTTATCAGTTTGACCACGATAATTTGAATCAAGATCACTCTTTAAATGAAAAAATTTAAGAAAAAAAATGAAGATTTTTTTCATTTTTGAAAACATACCACAGGTTTTATTGATTCGAGATCTTCTTCATCACCTTCGCTTTCACTATCATTTCCATCAACATTATCAATATCATCTAATTCAGTTAAATGACTTTCAACAAGTCGTGCCATATTAACTGATGGTGTTGTATCAAATTTAACTGATTGTTTTCCACTAATTGATGATATTTGTCTATTATTTGATTTTGATGTTGCTGGTTTGGAAATTTTTTTATATTCAATAAATTTAACTTCATCATCAGCTCGTATTTTATCTTCGTCATCTTCTTCTTCTTCTTTATCATTATCAACAGGAACACCTCTTATTAAAGCAGCTATATTTGGATTTCGTATACCGTATAAATTTGATGATACAGGTACTTTTGGTAGAATTTTTTTTTTTAATTTTTGTCGATCATTTTCAATTTGTCGTTGTAATAAATGATCATTAACACGACCATGTTTACGACCTTGCTCGTCCAAATAAACAACGGGTTTAAATGTTTCAAGTGGTCCTCGTAATGGTTGAATAAATAAATGATCTTGTACACAATTTGAAAATGATGAATTAGATGGTGTAACTAATTTTGTTCGTCGCTTATTTCGAGTAAGACTTGCCATAAGAAAATACTAAAATAAATTGATAAAATGTAATCAAATGGATCATTTTATTTGTTTTTCTTCGTAATAATTTGAATGTTTGTTTATTTTCATACAAATAGAAAAACAAGAAAGTTCAGATATATGAAGAGACCATAAAGATAAAAGAATGGAAGAGTTCATCGAATAATGAAACAAAACAATAGATCAATCGATTCAATGAGTTGATGAGCTTTTAATTGTATCAGAGTGTCTTCGAAAAATAGTGCATTGATAAACAGATCTAAACTAACACACTAAATTTCAATGAAAATTACCGCCATTAAGGTTATTATTTTCTTCCATGGTCTTGTTGAACACGGCTGAGATAGACTTACATAAAGAAATATTGACTGATTCATAAATAATTGAATGCATCTTCAATAGAAGCCTATGGAATTTCAAATAATCGCGATCAATTTTTCTGCGTATTTGTCAATGGTTTATGTGAATACCACATGAACCAAGAACCATATATTGCTAGTATTGTTATTACTTAATTAAAATATATGCCATAGGGGGAAAACTTCCATTAACAGGTGCGATTTGCCATTGACAAAAACAAATCAATCATATATTCATAGTTAGGATCTACTGAAAAGTCTAGTATTATATATTTTCATTTTAAGAAACGCCGTATTCAAATTTAATAGTTCTAAACGATGATAAAACACGTGCATACGATATGTTACTGAAAATATTTTCATCGTATTTTGTTTCTGCTCTACCTCTCTCGCTCATAATCTTCCTGAACACGATTGTGAAGTTCATTTAGTAGAATAAGATGAGAAAGAAAAAGAAACCAAGAATTTTCTTTTGTTATTTATTATATCTGATGCAACTCTAGACAAGTAATTGTATCACAAATGTATGTTTCAAGTGATCTCAACAAGAAAACAAATACACTCGTGAAAACAAACAGAAAGTATACGGCTATGTTTTTCTATAAGGTTCTTTTAATATTATGTGACAGTTACTTTAATGGCCTACTCATTGACAGAAATACAATGACTTACTGTTTTAAGATATTGCTTACAGACTTCAGTTCGCTTATAAAATGAAAAAAAAATAATTTCTAAACTGTAGTCACAAAACATTTGATTTTATTGCCAAGACAAGATACATACAGTGAGGACCCAAAAAAGTATGCACTTTTTTATTTTTTACACATAAACGAATAATAAGGATGTTCTAAAAATTTTCTCTTATATCTAATTTTGTAGAGCTGTTTTCGCTGATAATTTTGGTAAAAAAAACTTTTTGATTTTCATTGAGTAATGACAATGTTATAGTCAAAATACTAAACACTGTAGTAAAAAGTAGGGAAAAAGTTTAGCACATTTTTAGTACTTGGCTAATTTCTACGTTATTTCACAACATCTGAAAGATGTTTTCTATACCATTCGATGCAGAATTTAATGGGCTACATTTTGGTAGAAAGTGCTTATACTTATATTATAGTTAATTAATAAAATTTTGATTTGTTTTTAAATTCCAACTCCTTCATATGGAAGAGCATAAAAAACTGAACAAAACTCTATAAGTACTATTTGGAAAACAACGAATTTAGTGAGGTTTTAGTGTGATTTTCAGAGTATGTTCAGTTGTAATTAGATACAGTATTCATTATTTTTAATAAATTCAATCCTGAAACGACATATCAAATACGCGAAAACTGGCGCATTTTAAGGAGCATCATTTGCTCTTTCAAATGACATCTCACTGCTTCCTCTGCAATATTCTATACAAATGTTATAACGTCTTTCGAAATATACAATGCAAAATAACAAAAAAATTGCTGGAAAGTATGCCTTGAATTAGTTTTTACAACTAAAGACGTTATAACATTTGTATAAAATATTGCAGAGGAAGCAGTGAGATGGCATTTCAAAGAGCAAATGATGCTCTTTAAAATGCGCCGGTTTTCGCGTATTTCATGTGTCATTTCATGATTGAAGTTATTAATTACAAGTGAGCATATTCTGAAAATCATACGAAAACGTCACCAAATTCGTTGCTTTCCAAATAGTAATTATAGAGTTTTGTTTAGTTTTTTATGCTCTTTCGAATGATAGAGTTGGAATTTAAAAATAAATCAAAATTTTATTATTTAATTGCTTATTATTATTAACTACCATTTAACTATTAACTAATTAATTAACTACAATATAAGTATAAGCACTTTCTACCAAAATGTAGCCCATTAAATTCTGCACGGAATGGTATAGAAAACATCTTTCAGATGTTGTGAAATAACTTAAAAATTAGCCAAATACTAAAAGTGTGCTAAACTTTTTCCCTACTTTTTACTACAGTGTTTAGTATTTTGACTAAAATATTGTCATTACCCAATGAAAATCAAAAAGTTTTTTTACCAAAATGATCAGCGAAAACAGCTCTACAAAATTAGATATAAGAGAAAATTTTTAGAACATCCTTATTATTCGTTTATGTGTAAAAATAAAAAGTGCATGCTTTTTTGGGCCCTCACTGTATCACTTTCAAACGTATGTTCAATTACATTATAACGCAATACGATAGCATAAGAGTCATTGTCTCGTTATTAATGACTTTGCAGGTTATATATTTACAGAAATAACTTGGATCCTTCATGATGGATTATTTAACGAGAATTTTTTTCAATCGCCGGTTAATTCACAAGAGATTCTAATCATCGCTAATCAATTGTAAAGAAAAATGTTTTCAAGGAAGAGTGAAACATAAATCAAGACGTAAACTTCACTCAGATTCGGAAACGAAAAAAAAAATAAAAGGTTTTAATCAGGTTTTGCTGACCTTTGAAGTAATTTTGTTGTAATAAACAAAACGATGCCTCTAACTAATGTTTGCAGTCTCAAACGGATTTAATATGTTGAATAACGATTCATTGTTGCATTTGTTCTCGCAATAACGAACTACTTAGTCTCTACACATACACTGTATATGCCTTTTATTTAACAAAAAACTTTCGATATGTTTGATGCATATTTAATAAATAAAGCAATTATTGTTTTTCTTTTTTACTTCTAATTTATTTCATACGATTAGGACAATCAATATTAGGATTGAAACTAAAAAACAAGTATACTGATGGATAGTTTTTTTTTTTATAACTAATGAGGCACTATTTTCGATTAAAGAACTGTAACAGATGATAATAACTTCGTTATCCTTTTTTTCCTCGTATAAACTTATGTAACCGCAGTTCATATGTTTTGCATGAATGTATATCTTAGCTTTCATAAATAGTACGATCAAGAAAATAAAACTCTCAATAGTAAATTTTCTTCTCATTGGAAATATTCAGTCAGAAAGTTAGCTGTTATTTATCTAAGGTAGATGCGCATTCAAAAACTACTATGCAAATCTGTGAATTTGTGTTACCATTCTATAAAGTTTATTCTTTCCAGCATCAATCGATCAATGATAAATCGACATCTTTTATGTTACGACATAAGACATATATCGAATATTTGAAATAAGAAGTTAACTAGATCATATTTATCTTCTCACTTGGTTCCTTCGCCATGAAAGCTCAATACATGTGTTTATGTGAATGACTTTGATCAAATATGCACTTCAATTCATGGTAAACTTCTTTCTAAAGTTCATTACTAAGCAACGATTATTTTGTGAAAGAATTATAATGATAAACAGAAGATAAAATAAAAAGAAACTTTTTATACTTTCCAAAAATAATACCACTTAATCGGAGAAAATTAATTTGATAATTTTTTTTAACATTCAAATATTTTTATATCCTAACGACATCTGCAGTAAATGAACTTGCTTTTTCACTCCTATATAAATGGTGTGGAACCAACAAAGTGCGAGAAACTTGTTTTTGTTATTGTCTGATCGACATAAGGAAAACGGATGTGATTTTAATTGAAAATCCATTACTTATAAAAACTATCGATGAATCTTTTCATGAATTACTCTTCAACAACTATTCAATCAAACAATAAAAATGATTTAGTTAACACTGATTCATCACAAAATGATGATCAGAAGCCAAGACTACTTCATTCATGACAATCGATAGTAATACATTGAAATTCATAAAAATTTGTCTTTTTTTGTATATCACTTTTAACAATTATTCACAATAGTGTGAAGATAATGAACAATAAATCCCATGAACTAAAGATATCATTTTTTTGTCTCAATAAAAGAATCCTATAAGAATAAAATCTGCTTGCAAGCTATGGCGTTTGATCATCGTAGAACTGTCAATTGAAACTTGTGTAAAAAAATTGATTATTACAAAGGCTTGCTTCATTGTGTGACTTTCATACTGGTCACGTATCATTTTGAATAGCATAAATATCCGTAGAAGAATTAAATAAATCACTATTTTTATGAAAATTACTTACAAGAAATGAAAAATAATTAATAACGAAATGTCGTGACCTAGGGGAAAGAAGAATGTGGAATGTACTATGGCACATAAAAAAATGTATGCTTTCACTTTTGACCTAATTTTGATTTAAAGTTTCTTAAAATCTGCACTCAGACACGCAGAATAAATGATATGTCACGATGCTAGTCTTTTAAAAATGCACTTTGTGCTTTTTGTTTGTCACCGTTTCATTTTCTTGTCTAGATAAATACTGAAATATGAGGGACTATTAGAGCAGAATTGGATTTCAGTGTATTGAATGATAAGTTTGAGAAAATTACAATGTAAAATGCCAGCTGTATATATATATATGCAATAAATAACGAACTACCATCACTATTTTGTACTTTTTTTGAGTCAAGACATCGTGATGATAGTGTTCCAGGTTTTTCTCTTCGCCATTTTCGGGTACGTAAATTTGAGTCTTGCTTTACAATTTATGTTGTATTAAACGAGCATTCATTTAACTCTGTAGATTTTATTTTCTATTGTCAGTTACTAATTTATTTTCTCTTTAGTTCGAGTGTATATTCCCAAACATGTCGTGGAATCTCTCAATATGGTAAATGTTCAACCAATAATGATTGTGGTTGTCTACCTTTGGCAGCTTCTGAGAATGGCGGTATTTGTGGTTTTCTTTGGGTAGATTGTTCTCGTCTTGATCCATGTCGAACTTCTGATAATACTTGTGAAAAACTTGATCATATGTGCGTTCATCATCAGTGTAAAAATGGTCCTGTTTGTTATCCATTGTCAATGATTGATCAACGAATCTGTCCACCAATGGAGGGTAAAAAAACAAAGATTTATATATAACTTGAATCGATGCTATTAAAAATAAGTTATGAGATTCGAAGCTGAACATATTTCGAGAATGTAGTCTCAATGAATTTTCTGAGTTTCATAAAGGTTTTTGAAATGACAACAATATTACGTTTAAAATACCGAAACTTTATTTTGAAGATAAAAAAAACACATGTCTTTTTCTGCAATGTCGATATTGTCTTTGGGTTGACATACCGAATCTGACTTGTGCTGAATATTACTGATACTTTCTTTCAAAGAATGTATTATATGTTTCCATTTTTAATAAATAGCGACGAACGATACAACGACAATGACTACCCCCATTGGAACAACAAGTAAGTACTATTTTTTTTTCGTTCATTAGACTAATTTCATGTACACTAAATCATATCACTGCATCGAGAAACTTAAAGTTGTAAGAGACATATTTCTTTTAATATATATACATATAAAACATTAAATTCAGACGGAAGCACAAAATTATATTATTCATTTTTACGATTATCTTTAACACCATAAATGAAAGTCTAATAGAATGATGAAAAAGAACTATTCTTTCTAAGTTCATCATCATGAAAGCAAAATTTAAGAAAATCTTGTTCGTAAATCAATTCATATTTTTAAAAAAATTTTCTATACATTTAGCTACACCTTCACCATCAATACCTAATGACGGTATCTGTACAACAGCAACATGGAGTCGACAAGGTATTACTGTAGCTGGTGGCTATGCTTGGGGCAATGGACTAAACCAACTTTATTATCCTATGGGAATTTTTGTCGATGCAAATCGAACTGTTTATGTAGCAGATTCCAACAACGCCCGAATAGTCAAATGGACACAAAATGCTACATTTGGTCAGATAGTTGCAGGTGGATTCGGAGCAGGAGGTGGTACAGCACAGTTATACGGTCCTATGGATCTTGTCGTCGATAAATCTGGCTCAATCTACATCACTGACACCTTTAATAATCGAGTGCAAAAATGGAATCGAAATGCTCAAGTGGGTGAAACAATTATTATAGTACAGCGTCCTATTGGTCTAGCATTAGATGATGAAGAATCACTTTATGTATCTGCATCTTATTGGTCGAAAGATTTGCTAAAATTGCGTAAGGGTGACAAACATGGATCTGTCATTGCTTCTAATTTACCTGAACTCTTCTATTTGTTTGCGCATCGAAATCGATCTATTTATGCGGCAGATAAAAACAATGGTCGAATATTAAAATTCGATGAAGGCAAAGCACAAATTTCAGTTGCTATTGGTGAATTACAAAGTCTTGGCGTACCTCAATTAGCATTTCCGTCCTCTGTTGTTGTTGATCAATCCGGTACTATGTATGTCGTTGAATACGGAAATCATCGTGTCACACGATGGTTACCTGGAGCAAAAACAGGCATTGTAATTGCGGGTGGTCGTGGTCAAGGTTATCAATCTGATCAACTTAATCTTCCTACTGATATAGCATTTGATCTTGATGGAAATCTTTATGTTGCAGATTACGGAAATCATCGAGTACAAAAGTTTGCTATTGATAAGACATCATGTCAATAGATGTAAGTATCGATTAATTTTTATTGTTCTTAGTTATGGTGTTTCTTTTTAGAACAACGCAGAAAACGATCAATACAATAATATAATGGTCATATGAAAAACTTTATCTTGATGTAGATTGTGTATTGTTGATCCTTATTCTGATACAAGAAATTTATTCAAATAAAGTTATCGTATTTTATTCGGTTTTGTCTGTTGAGAAAGTCTTTGAAAAGATTCCCTGTTCAAGTAAATTTGATCACTTTGACAGCAGATCCTATGCCTCTACTACAAACTGTTTTGATAACTTCAATTGAAGCAACTATGATTAAAATAGGCTACCATTTAAGTGGTCAGTAGAATAAATGAATGGTCAGTAAAAAATGAATGATCAGTAAATTGAATGAACGATCGGTAAATTGAATGAACGATCAGTAAATTGAATGAATGATCAGCAAAACATTTAAACGGTCAGTTATTGAAATCATTAGGTTTGTTGATATATTTAAAAATTAGTAAATTAAATAAATGGTAAATATAAAAATCGAAATGTGTTGAGGCAGAGATAGACATGATAAAGTGATATTAAAATACGTTTAAATCAACATAATTATAACGATGTGAAATGCTCACAAATAATGCCAAAAAATGGTGTGTTGTAAGCATTATTTTAGCATTTTTAAAACCATTTTCACTGTTTGAAAAAAAATTCATTTTAACGGATCACGGAGGCATGTTTTGGGCATTATTCATCACCATTTCGCACCATTTTTTATTGCAATTTGAAGGCATTTTAATGTCCTTTTATCATTTTTATCCCTGCCTGGGTAATCGTTTGAAATATTGCAAGACACTGCTAGCAGCAAAAACAGTGCTGACCGGTGAGAAAAAAAGAGATGGACCAGCAAAGGCTAAACCTGCTTTGCTAATACAATAATTGAATTCTATTTTTCTTTTTCTCGATTCATTCTTTGAGTTTCTATTTTATGTTCTTTTGAATTTCTTCTTACTTATCGTGTGGTTTTTTAATTTATTTAAATTTATTTTTCTTATACTAAATTAATCTTTATACGAATAAAACTTGTTTCTTCTACTGATAAAAGCTGTTAGCGCAATCCCTTANTAGATGGTGACAAAAAAAGAAATAACGAAGGACTCATCTTAACGATAATTCAAACAATCCAAATCTATGCAATATGATCTTTTTCTCTAGGAATATGCACAAGTCGAAAACCAAACGTATAGTAACATGTAAAGGCGAATGATGAAAATTATTCTATCTATAAACAGTTTATCGCAATACTACACGTTCTGTAGAAGTAACATATGTAAGATTATTTGATAGATTTCAGACCATTTTGAGTTGTTTTATGTTTTTTGAATATACAAAGTTGGGCTGACGCAGAAAATATATACAGAGTGGCCCAAAAGTAAGGGAACAATGTAAGGAAATAGCATAGTCTTTTCAATTTTTTCTTAATAGATCGATAGTTAGATCTCATATTTGGGCTACATGTACTATATTATAATGCTCAAAAAAGCACTCTATCATCTGGCATTGTCCTTAAGATTTTATTGAAAAGTGTCCGAATGTCTCTCATGCACCCCTATTTAACTGTCACAGAAGTCTGTTTCTTTTATCGAAGCCATTTGATATCGTTCCGTTATACTTCGTCTGTGAATAATTTTGTTTGCAAATAGTTGAAAACAACTTTAAAATCAAAAGAATTGACATAATTTAGTATGCGCTAATCTAAACAGACAAAAGGATTGAAACAAAATATAGCAGAGAAACAATAAACTTCAGCAATAATCATATTAAAGTACAACAGAAAAATTCCTGTGTTTTTTCAACAAAATCTTAAGAGCAAACCACTGATGAAAGGGTGCTTTTCTCAGTATTATCATATATAAGTATACATGGTCCAAATATGAGATCTAGCTATCGATCTATTAAGAAAAAATTGAAAAGAATATGGTGTTTCCTTATACTTTGTTCCCTTACTTTTGTGCCACTCTGTATATGCGAATGGGTTATTAAAAGAAACTTTTACAAACTTGAGAAAATTTCGGAAAATGGCAGCGTGGCAATGTTAAAATTATTCAAAACTAGAATACTCGATATACTGAATTATTCTAAAGACATGACGACTCATGATATCTTAGAGCACTCTATCAACTGAGATCGAACAGAAAGAACTTATAAAAACGTATGTTTTTTCATTTCAATGTCTGCATCATAAAATTTATACATTTATTTGCTTTTCTGCAAGTGGAAGGTTATCTAGAGTACACAGTATATTTGTCTCACGGGTCAATGCAAAACATGCAAAATGAACTGCACAGTGAGAAGAGAGAAATAATGAAATTAAATATTCTCAACTTTGATGCATAGTCTATTTATTCGTCTAGGGTGGGTTTGGGTGTAGATATTGGTGAAGATAAGACTTCAGCACCCATATCCACACGTCCATTAAGGTTTCAATCGATGCAGATATAGTGTCCAATGATAAGGAATACAAAATCGTATAAACTTTGAAACAACCGTATACGACTATATGTTTACGTTTGGTATACGAAGAAATATAGCCGCTTACGAAGAGATACTAAGTAAAAAAAGAACCTGTGCGTAATCTTTGAGTACGGATTCCATAAACAGCCACATTTACATCAATGATCAACGGTCGTTTACAAGCAGGTTTGCTTGACCTGAAATGCTTTCAGAAGTGACAATGATTGCTAATAAATTATTGAATGATTTGGCCGTTTGTTCAATGTTGTATCTATGAAGATGAGATATCATTTTTCGATAGAAGGGAAATCTTCGATACTTCCACTAAATATCTCTGTGATGCCCGTAAATACATGCTATTTAATTTCAAATGATCATTCACACAAGTCGCTGTGATTGGTTTGAAACGAACTGGCCATGTGGAAAATGAAAATTTGCTGACTGAAAAAGAATCTCGGTTATTGGATTAGCAGGGAAATCTACAGTAACAATGGGACAAGACCACAAAGATGTTAGAAGAGGAAAGTTCACGGCTAACTAGGACCGTGAACAACATAAAAATTTGAAGAAATTGATACAGCTGAAGTACCCGTCCTAAGCGCAAATGTTAAACTGGTACTCATTAAATCTCAATTAGTTTAAAACAATGATAGCTTGAACCAGTTATAAAAGAAGCAGAGAAAATAAGTCATTCATATTGATGCTTACTGAGCACAATGTCTCTCTTTCTCTGTGAAGAAATACTTTACAGCTACTTTGTGATGAATATCTTCGGAAAAGATCGTCTAGAAATATTGGATGCATCATAATAATGTCAACAGACTACTCTTGTGTGAGTCGGTTCAAAACTATTTGAATAAAATGATGATTCTTGCTCGAAGTAAAAAAAGAAAAAAGAAAGATTCTAAAAAAATCGGGAAAGTAATATTGATAGAAAAGATAAGCTGAACTTAACATGTTTTGGTAAATCACACAACATTGGTCGATCACAACAACTATTTGTGCGCCGAAAAATCATGTCTGCTTATCTGGGATAAGACAATCGAGTTCGTCATTTAAAATAGGTAAACAATAAAAAGAAAAAACGAAATCGCAAGTTAATTATTTATAGTTTTATACAATTTATCAAAAATTGGCTTGTATTTTTTCTCGACTGCAAATCGTCGAGCTTTGAATGTTGGTGTTAAAAGGCCATTTTCAACTGTAAATGGCTCCGTAATGATGGCAATTGCTTTAATTTGTTCAAATGGCATCAAATCACGTTTCTTTCCATGTTCAATCATATCTTTCAAGACGATTTGATGCAATTCCTCGTTGGTTTCTGGTGCATCCAAAGCTATGAAGTCGTTGCCATTTGCAGCAGCCCATTTCTTGATAAATTCATTGTCAAGTACAACAATTGCGACAGGAAAATTTTGAAGCGAATCGCCATAAACATATACCTGTGAAATAAATTCACTACGCTCATAAATAGCTTCGATCTTTTCTGGTGCAATAAATTCACCTTGACTTAACTATCGTCAAACGAAAAAGAACCGATCAATCTATGCAATATAACCGACCTCTTTTTTCAATACTTACTTTATAAATATTCTTATTTCGATCAATGATTTGCATTGTATTATTTACTGTCCAACGGCCAACGTCACCTGTATGAAGCCAGCCGTCATCATCAATTGTTGCGCGCGTTTTAGCTTCGTCTTTTAGGTACCCTTTAAATACGGCTTTACTACGAATACAAATTTCCCCGACACGATCTCTTGCAAAATAGTCTTTTTCTGGAATATCGATCAATTTAATATGATTGACTGGAGTCGGAATTCCTGTTTCACCCGATTGAGTATCATTTAGTTCTTGCCAACATCCCATGATGCACTCGGTTTGTCCGTAGCCTTCGATGAATATGCAGGAAAACATCGCACGACAGAAATCAGCTACTTCAGGAGCTAATGGCGCACTGGATGCAACAACACGTTCGACTTTATTCCCGAACATTGAACGAATTCGATTGAATATTTGATTGTCCCAAACAGTGTCGCATGAAAAATTGCCTTTTCGAATTTCGCCTAATTTCGATTGAACAGCCGCTTTGATGAAATCACTTTTAGACGCATAATCATGTCGATGAGTTTCCGACATAACTCTATCGTATAATTTGTTGAGAAGACGAGGAACCATTGTAAGCAGATTCGGTTTAAAATCTTGAAATTCGTCCATTAATTTGTTAACATTTCCTTGCCAGAAGCCGATTTCTCCGCCTTGAAATCAATGAGCATAAAATGTCAAAAAAATAAATAAATAATTTTTCTATGGAAAATTCTGTCCTACCCAATGATGTAGCAAAGATAATTGTTGTACAACCGAACATATGAGCCAAGGGCATAAAATTGAGGATCCGTGGAACTTCATCTTTTAGATTATTCATCAGTATTATTCCAGCAATAGCACAGATGAAAGATTCGTGAGTAATCATGCATCCTTCATGGAAGAACTCTTAATCAAAAGAAACTTTTCTATAAACTAAACACTACCTTTTGGTTCTCCCGTGCTTCCGCTAGTGTACATAATTACTGCAGTGTCCGTCAATTTGGGCGGTGTAGGTTCTATTCGATGAGTTCGACCGATTTCCATCATGATGTTGTATGTGACTAATCGAATTCCTTTTGCTTTTGCCGCTTCGATCAAATCAAATGATGGTTCGGACAAGCTGATAATCGTTTCGAGTAAGCCATGTTCATCGTGCCATTCGATCAGATTACGCACTCGCTTCAAATTATCTGCGAAAATCAATTTGAGCTCAGCATGTTTAATAATAAATTGCACACCATCGCGACCAAGAGTATCATAGATCCCCACTGGTGCAAATGAAAAACACCATGACGAATAAAGAAAGAGAGCATAGTAAATTGTGGCCGAACCATAGATACCAATAAATGTATCGTTCGACTTTTCCAAACCAAGATGAACCATGGCACTTCCGATATCAAGAAGCATGTTCCATACTTCTCTATATAGTACAAGTAGTCACTTTAGTATAGAATAAGTCAACGCTAAAGTCACTTGAATAAAACAGTTGCGAGAAACAAGAAGCAACAGAAAAATGAGAAATGAACAGTTTCAATGAGAAGACTTTGCTGTTATGTTATTTTTGTGTAAAGTGAAGAAATACATGAACGATTCAAGTTGATTGAATCTACATCGTCACGAAGATTTGACGCTCATGCCTTTTGCATGAGAAGTTGGAGCCTCATTCCTTAACTTACATACATTGTCAGTTTATCTAAGAAGATTCTGTGATCCTAACGAAATCAACAAGCCAACACAACTGTTCTTGATAGGTAAAATTTTCATTTTTGTGAAACTCACTGTGAAAATAGTGAGTGTTAATTTGTATTCGAAAATTTTCTATGCCTGCTCTCCTACCACTTACAGACATCGCAGGTTACGGACAAGACACATCATCTCACTATTTCAATATGTTTGCAGAGCGACGGAGAGAAATACTGAAAGATGAATTTGCACGAACGAGAAATCAAAGCAAAACAGAAGTGCACCAACGAAAAAAAGTTGATGAATGAAAATGACTGACAGCAGCAGCATAGTAACGATAGGAAAACGCAAAAAATATATAAAATGAAGTTTTGAATCACGAGCATCTTATGAGATGCAGGAATCGCAAGGGGAGATGGTATGGTTTTTGAACAGATTTGTCACATCTTCCGCTTTTTTTCAGAAAAAAAATCGCTTTATCATCTGTTTTTGCGTTCTGCGAGACATTTTGTCTCATTATTTTTACAACTGAATGTCAATAGATTCAATAGTTGCAGAAATACAAATTTGCCGAAATACTTCATTTTCTTAAGAACATGTGCGAACATCTATTATCTCAAAAAGAATTATCAACCAACCATCATTCAAATAGTAAACATAACTAGTATCTTCAACATACGATGTGATTAATATTCATAAAAATACGAAGTGCCCTCGAAAATGTCTGCTTATATGCGAATAAATTCAATCACAGCTAGGCTAACTACTTCGAAGCAGTAATCGATGACCACCATAGTTTTGATTAGCATTATGAAACTATATCATTAACGCGAGCAACAGAAACGGAAATCGGAAATGAGCATCTCGACATTTTCCTGATGATGATTCCAATGGTGTAGGAGAGTGGAAATGAAAAGTTCATAAAACTCAACTGGCTTGTCTACGCATTTGAAACTGGCACAGATGATGGTTTTTGAGCTTGTAACAAGCCAGTTACGCGACTCCGTTGCTACTCATGGTACGCCAGGCCTACGAAAAGTCGGCCTTGCTAGAATTCGGATTGCAACTAGAACTTCGTTTGAATGAAAACACACGTGGTGTATGGATACTTAGAACTAACGCTGCATTCCAATTCAATGTCAAATTACGATATCTGTTGTAGACGACGAAACTCGTTTACTACCGATCATTTTTCTTGCTCTTGCAAGTTAATTGTTAATCTATGGATGATCTACTTCAAACTTCTTACTTGTATGTATAGGATTGGAATGGTATATCGAGCGAGGTCCTGTAGGAGAAGAGGGGCCGATCACCATATAATTGCACGGCTTGTTCGATAACTTCGTACAGGGTTTGTGCGCTGTATGCACGATGATCGTAAAGTTCGTTGACATAATCTGGATGACAGTAGATATGCTCGTCGACATCAATTTCAACCGCTCCTATTGAATTCATCGCTTGCGCTGTTTCGGATTGATTCATCTCAGAATGAAAAATTCTTATTTATCTAAAAAAAACGATTGTTTATCGTTCGTAAATATCCATTAAAGCGCTTCATTTTAACAGAAAAATGACAGCGGGATCATATGAAAAAGAAAAAACACTGACTTTAGTGTTCACACCTAAATTAGGCATGCACCAAACCTGGATACAGACCGAGAATCCCGGGCTCGGTATTCCAGAGGTTCGGTCGCTCCCGGATTTGATGTGCCCAGGGTTGGATCACTCCCGGGACCTGAAATACTGGATTTAGTTATTTATTTATTTGGGTCATTGCCAGACACTCGGGGAAGTCAGGAGCATACGGAGAATATCGACCCCGAACTTTTCGGAGTTCGGCCATCCCCGGATTCGGTTATACCTGGCTTCTAAGGATGCCTAATGCAGACCAAAGTACATGAATCA